GCCTCAAGTACGAGGGTAAGTTGAAAAATAAGTTTCCCCTGTCGACTGTGGTCAGAGTTGTGTATGAAAGTCAAAAAATAGAATGAGACATTAAAGATATGACATACCTTTATTTTTCCACATAGGTACCAAGTACATTGACACATTTGTCATATCGCTTGATAAGCTTCAAAAAGCCCTCCAGGAAAAAATCAGGGCTTTACATATGGAAGAAGCGTTGAACGGCTTGTTTCACTTCAGTACTGTTTCCAAAGCGCCTTCCCCCGAGATTTTTCTTCAAAGCCGGAAACAGATGGAAGTCGCTTGGTGCGAGATCAGGACTGTATGGCGGATGGTGTAGGCGCTCCCAACCAAGAGTTGCAATATGGTTTTGCGTTGCCGTCGCCGAATGTGGTCTGGCATTGTCATCCAACAGCAGAACGCCAGATGTGAGAAGGCCAGGCCGCTTTTTCCGAATCGCCTCTTTCAATTTCGACAGGGTGTCACAGTAGCGCGTAGCATTGATGGTTCCAGCCTCCAAAAAGTTCAGCACCAAAACTCCTGGGCGTCCCAGAAAACTGTGAGGAGCACTTTACCTGCAAAGAGAATTGTCTTGAACTTCTTTCGGGCAGGTGATGATGGATTTTTCCACTCCATAGATGCGGCCTTCGATTCTGGCGTGAAATGGTGGACCCACGTTTCATCTCCCGTCACAATCCGAAACAGAAAGAATGAGAGGCTGGTCTCCGCTTTGTGCAGGCACTGCAACGGCGCCATCTGCTTGATTTGCAGCGACCTCTACCCAATGGTGTATCGGTGACTTGCGCGTTTTCCTGCTGTGTCGCCTTTCGCCCATAGCCGTTCAACGCTTCTTCCATATGCAAAGCGTGAATTTTTCTTGGAGGACTTTTTGAAGCGTATCAAGCGATATGACAAATGTCTCAACGTACTCGTACGAGAATAATAAAATAAAGGTATGTCATATCTTTAATGCCTCATTCTATTTTTTGACATTCATACACAACTCTGATCACAGTCGACAGGGGAAACTTATTTTTCAACTTACCTACGTAGGTTGGACTTCTACTTCCACCCCCAATTTCGAGGGAGAGCACGCCGGGGAGGGAGGTCGGAGGGTCTTCCACCTCTCGTCCCTTCCATGAAACCACTCGAGAGGACTTTCGGCTCGCCATATATTTAGAGTGCCCCCATGCCGCAAAGGCACTATACTGCGGCCCTTCGGTACCGCAGTAGTCTTCCCTAATCGCTATACCGGGGTTTCCTGGGCGGCGTTTTTTTATTATGCATCGTTCGTTCTTTTAAATAATAATAATTTTAATAAAGTGCGTAACACTCATTTGGGGTTATTACCTCTCTTATAAACAAGTATGCCAATTTTCGAAACGAGCCAATATATAAATTTACGTATATAGAGAAAAATTTTGAATAAAAAATTCAAATTTCTGGCAAGTATGCCAATTTTCGAAACGAGCCAATATATAAATTTACGTATATAGAGAAAAATTTTGAATAAAAAACTCAAATTTCTCGCAAGTATGCCTAGAAATACATCTACTTTAAGGTGACGGTAAAAACTTTATAGGTTATAATTTAACATGCTTTTCGAAAAATTTATAAAAATTACTAAAAAATACAAATTTAGAAAATAAGTCAGAAAATATCTATTAATTTTACTTGCACTGAACCTAAGTTCGAACTGTGAAAGAAGGAATCAAGTTTAATAAAAAAATAATAATAAATTTATACCAAATTCAATTAATATTGAGGAGCTTAAATTTTGAGAACTAATTTTTAAAAACTACTCTTGCGATTTCCACAAAATTTCGCACTTTGGCATAATTTCAGTCGTAGAATTGATATATGGAAAACATCGGCATGCCATTTCAGTAGATCGGATCACCATTTCAGGAATCGGATTCGTCGCCAATGTTTTGCTAAACTCGCCAAGAGTTTGATTCATATAAAGTCGCCAATATTTACTTCTAAAGTCGTCAAAATGTTAATATTTTTAAATAAAAGTAAAAGAATGTCTTTTCAAAATTTGCAACGAGAATGCAAATTCCAAAGATGTAACGAACGGTGTGTTTTTATCATTATTATAGTTACCATGGATTTGAAAATTTGGATTTACCTAATTATGAAATATCTTCCGTACAATATCCTCAAGAAGGGAGAATTTTTCAGTCGGAAAGAAAGTGCACGAAAAACCATAATTTTTTTTTTTTTCCCCTGCTTTCTTTGGCAAGTTGTTTAATTTTCTAATTTTACGAATATCTGTTGCTATTTTTTTCCCTTAGATTTTCCTTCAGCTCATCCGTATCGTATTTTATTTATCGAAATTTAAATATTTTGGCGATTATTTTTATGCTTCGAATTTCTCGCGAGATCGTCATCTTTTGGGGAAATCTGAATCCGATTCCGACAACAGAATAGTACTCAAATTTTGTGTCGGAATACCTACGTTTTTACGTATCAGAACAATGCTATATATAAATCTGATATGTATCCTAAGTCGCACATTCGAAACATGAAAAAGACAAGTTAAATTTCGTCCATCGGCCAGTAGAACAGGACATCTAGAACTGTACCTTTTTTGTGCGTGTGCAAGGTGTACCTCTTTTTTGGCAGATAGTCTTAATATGTTTTACCGTAATCTAATGGTCACAAAAAAGGAATTTCTGCTTAATAGTTTTTAGTTTCTTATTTGGGAACGGAGATAAATAATAAAAATGCGTTGGCCCCAGAAATATACAAGAATCACCGCTGCAAATAAATATTTTTATGCCCTGAAGAGTTATTTAAAATCCAGCTTAAATTAAGAACTAAATTGCTTCTTTACAAAGTCGCATAAGATCTGCCTTAACTTATGCATCAGAGATTTGTGCATTGACTTTATGTGATGAGGAAGAACTGGGAATTTTTGAGCGAAAGATCTTGCATTGCATTCTTGGTGGGGTTGCAAGTGAATGGATTATGGAGAAGATCTAATTTAGAACTCTCTATCATTTACAAATAACCTGATATTGTAAAATTCGCCAAATTACAGAGACTTAAATGGGCTGGCTACCTGGCTAGAATGAACTAAGATCGTTGCTGAAAGAAAATCTTTCTGGAAAAGCCCACTGTGTAACGTTTCACCAAATGAGTAATTTAAAAGCAATATACATCCTTATTTTTGACATCTCTACCGTAAATTTATAAAATATCTAACTCTTGCAACAGATGATTGGTTTAGTTGATTATGGCAAAGTACACTAAGGCTATCTGCCTAAGGAGAGGGATGCCTTCGTGGAGAACTTTCTAAGGGGCATTGGGCCCGTACACACGTTACACTTAGGGCCCATGCAGCCAGCCAGTTCGTCTATAATCGAAGAAATTGAACTGTCAGTATTCTCCACCAGCAGCCGAGAGATAAAATTGCTGAATACTGGTAGTTCAGACATGCAATAAATGATATGTCCAACTAATAATTTTAATGTAGTTTCACTTTGATTTTTATTAATAACTTATTAACTTTATCGTCTCTTATGTAGTCACCCCCATTCCATAAATACTATAAAAGGTCCAGCTCCGATTTAACAATTATTTCCTTTAAATGGAAATTAAAGCATTTTTAAGAAACATTTTTTTCTCGTGTGTGCCCTTAAAACAGATAGATAACTGGTAAACAAAAATTTTAGCTGTGATATAAACTATGGTTTAAACAGAACTGAAACGAAAATCAGTTTTACAATAAACCCTATTTAATTATAATTAAAAAAAAATTAAATCCTTTAGTCTAAGAAAAATATATATAGCTAGGAAATAATTCAAGGTACATAATTTAACTCTGAATGTACGCCTGCAAATTCGCTGCATAAGCTTTACATATATATAAATATAAAATCTTAAGACACAGTTACTGTTTAAATAAAATTTAAGGCATATAAATATGAGATCTATTACGCACCGTTATGCATTTTCTGTTATGCACTTCGGCTCCAACTTGTTTTTGAAAAGCAAAATTTACTAGCAACCTTTCAGGTTTTTAAAGGAGTATCTTTTTTAGAAGGAGAATCTTTTTCTTCTGCAGATATCTGCCAGAATGAAAGTTTTTTCCTGCAATTAATTTGGCAGCTTCGAGTATATCTGTGCAGGTGGTCGATATTCTCCATTTACTTGTGCATTTGGACAGCATAGATATTAAGATTTTTAACTGATAAAGCTACTTGTGGAAGCAACGGAATTTTTAAGCTGTTCACGTAAAATTTTCCTTATTTTAGAAGTTTTTATTGTTCTACTATTTTCGCTTTTAAATCTAGGAATGTTTTAAAATTGCAAACAACAGTTGCTAGAGCGAACTGAAACAAGTGCCTGGCTAACTATGGTTCACGGCTCTATGCTGGACAACTCTGCTACATAATAAACTTAATTATGTACTTCTTTGTTTCACAATGTCCTGCAAGTGTATTAAACATGTATCAACTCATAAATGTCTTTAAAAATCATTTGTTCCGAATATACAACTTACTGTACAATAACTATAATTACATTACTCTTATAAAGCGAAGTTCTTTATAAAGCAAAATAAACCACTGCACAGGAAAAATAAATCAATAATGATATACACGGTGACCAACGTATTACACATATTAACATATGAATAACTTAAAAACCATTTATTCCGAACAAGTTAAATTTACAATAACTATAATTATATATTACTTTCTTTTTAATTTAAAATAACTAAAAATATGAAAACAGCTAAACAATACAGGCAGCGGACAGTGTATTAAGCATGAATTATTGAATGAATAAATTTTTCTTACTTTCTCCATTCCAAATACAATAACAGTAATTAAATATGCATGTATACAAAAAAGCAAGCTATTATTTTTAATGTAAAACAACCCAATCCATGTGAACGGAAAATTGGCTAATCAATAAACATGGCGAAAGAAGGTATTGAATATACATAAATAAATATATACATAGAACAAAATTTTAAAAAAATGGCTTACAACAGCTTCGGAAATACCAGACACCGATAAATTTCCTCTGTTGGGGGAGACCAGAGGCATCGACTTGCAGCCTATGATACTTAGCGCGGTAACAATCACAAAAAGAGCAATTACACATCCCGCGCTGCACACTTTCGAGCATGTCGACGACAAAAGTTTGCAAACAGAACCGACCGACGACACACCTGATCGGGAGATTTCATGGGCACCTTCGGTCCCGAGAAAAACCCACATAACCGCGCATATTCAGGCTTCGGTTTACAAAAACGAAGCCTCGATCTACCACAACCAATCAGATAACGGAAGATGATTCACTGAGTCCCGGCAACAAACTTTTATGAAAGCGCCGGAGAAGTCAGAAGACATTCGGCGCGAGACGGAAATGTCCCTAGTCAGGGATTTTGATTAGGAAAAGGGATTTCAGAGAGGGAATATCATTCTTTCTAAATCTCAACTTGAATATGCTCTTTAATGGTGGTAGGGGTTCAGTCAGTTGGGCCACTGCACAGTCAGTTGAGCACCTTAATACCCAACTGACTGAAATCCTACTAAAGACAATTTTTCCTGAATTGTTAAATTTTAGGAACTCAAATTCATAATACCACCTATTAAACAAATTTAAAAATTCAGAATCTGACACTTGTCACCTCGAAAATCGTACAAATACAAATATAACGACCAGCTCCCTAAAACTTGTTTCTCAGCATTCACCTCCTCTCAGAAATAAACATCGGAAGCAGTGAACATCGTCTTCTTACGATTATTTTGGGCATTCTAAAACCAAAATTTGGCAGGATACGACAATAAAAAATGCTAAGAAAATCTTTGAGCGGCCTTATGACAGGTTTAGTTACCCTCTCAGGAAAAGGTTTACGATGCATAGTTCTTGATGCTGGTAACGATGAGAGATTTTTTTTCCTGAAGCACGATTTGTATTCGAAGATAAAAAAATCTGATGAATGCACCACATGACTTCCTTGTACGGAATACAAAATTATACCTTTTTTTTTTTTATTTCATTTAAATTCATTGGATTGGATTAAATCTACTTCGTCGATAGCGCATAAACCACAATAGAGTAAATGCACTCTTTAAAATTCCCTATATTTGTTTACTATAACGACACTCTGAATGCACAAATGTTTCTGCTTTAACCATAATTTTATCGATCCCGATACTAGTTGTCATACTCAAACTTTTTAAAAGTTATGGGACAGTGCGAAACAGACTTCAACGCGGCACTGAACGTAACCATTTAGATTCTTATTTGAGTTAATGTGCGTCCTAAAACGCAAATCTTTTCAGACAATTTAAATGATATCCGCAGTTTCATGTTTCTTTCTCAAATTGCTTAATTTATATTAAAAATTTCTAACTGTACGACTGTCTGCTATTTTTTCCCTCGGATGTTTCTTCAACTATATCATGAACAAATATTTTGGCGATTATTTTTATGCTTCGAAATTTTCGCCAGATCATCAGCTTTTACCAATATCTGATAACAGAACAAACAGTACCTAATATTTTGGAATTTTTAATGGTAAACACTTCTTTGAATCGTTAGACTGTAATCTCTCTGCTTCCATATTTAATTTATTTTTATTTTAAACAATAGTAAACAAGATAAGACAAGACACACTGTAAGAGAAAGGTTGTCTGGGCATGAATGGATGAGTGTACGTCTTAAGAGACAATTAATACAAGATATAGTTTTTGTAACATCTGCTATAAAATGTAGTTAGAGATTTTAAAGCAAATGAAGATTAAAATTTAATTAACGTCTTTAGAAAATAAAAATGGAAAATTTTGCTCTGGTTCACTGTTTGGCCATGTAAGGATTTAATTTGGATTTCAATAAACGTTGGAGCCTGGACTTTGGATCACAGTCCACCAGGTGGGAACAGCTTTTGAATAACTGCAGAGGGCAAGAGACCCTGGGTCTGGGCTCATGGTGTGAGGCGTCTGTGTGGCCACCGGGGGTGTTCTCTAGATGGATGCGGGTTGCGGGCAGCACCCGAGTAGTCTATGCAAAGCCATCCGGGTGCCCGTACCTGCTGTCACCTGTCTGGTTCACTGATTTCGAAACAGAACTGGTTAAACTCTTATAAATCAGAAGAAAATAACGTACTTCGACATTTACTAAATTTTTGCTTTACTTCAGGTAAGCGAACGGTTTGGGGGGGGGATATAACTCGAACTGCAAGGATTGCATTGTTAGTTCTGCCATTTCAAGTTTAAGTAACGATTTTATTTCTAAATGTTATGAAATCTGTACATGTTACATTTATATAACAGTGAAAAATTTCATATAAATTAAGAAAATGAAAAACATGCCCTATAATTGAACATCAGGCTCAGCTGCAGCTTCACTGCGTAAAAAAATTGTTAATTGAATGCACTGGTTTTGGCAAGAAGTCGCCAAATGTGCAGTAAATTGGAGGAATCCCACATCCGCGGGCAGTTTGCTGCTTGAGGAGGTGTTGGTGTATTTAATAATGGCAAAGCACACTAGGGCTGTCTGCCTAAGGGGAGGGATGCCTTCGTGGAGGACTTTCTAAGGGAAACTGGCTCGTATACACGTTACACATGGGGGAAACCACGAAAACACCCATGCAGCCAGCCCGTTTGCGGGATTCGAACCTCGGACCGAACTACCAATGTTCAGCGACTTTACCGCTCGGCCGCTAGTGGGCGCTGCGTGAGGAGGAAAGCACAGGTTGAAAAGGTCGTTTTAGCCTCGTGCGTTTCGCAGTTTAAGAGTGTCGTGATGTACAGAATTTAATTCCTACCCCACGTAGAAATAAGATTCCAAAAACCTCATAGGCCTATCAACGGCCGAGCGGTGGAGACGATTCGTACCCAGAATGAAAAGTACGAAGATGCAGAACTTGATGTAAAATTCCCTAGGAAAGGACGGTATGGGAATAATTGGATTGTCCGACACATTCAGAAGCATGATGAAAAGCCAGACAGTGAATCTGCAGTGGGCAAGGAACACTGTTAGAAAGTTCTTTAGAGTGACGCAATGCCACAATTGCTTTGTGTTTGGAGACACAAAGCGAAACTGCAAAGAGGAGATTAAAATGTCTCAAATGCGTAGAGTCTGGAACTTAAGAGCTGCGTGTACAGTAGAAGAGGCTGCTTGCACTAATTGTAAGAAGGCAAATGGTCGGTTCAAACTTGGATTAAAAGTCAATCACGACGCAATGTCGAAATCGTGTAGCTGACTAAAAAGGGAGTCAGAGATCTTAAAACGAAAGATCAATTATGGGCAAATTACGTATATAATAAAGTATATATGGAGTACTCCGAAAGCAGCAATCCAGGTCTCTCTTTCATAGAAATTTTTAGTTGCGGGGTATATTACTGCAGTTCTGATCTTGGGAAGTACACTGTAAAAAAAAATCTGTAAAGTTACTAAGAAAAGTCGTGGAAACTGGGATGCCATGGATTATTTGAGTAATCAAAACAGGAATTTTCTTAGTAACTTTACAGAGATTATACCTGTAATGGTTACAGATGTTTGACATGTAATGTTACAGGAAGTTATTCTGTAGGCATAACAAAGTTTTTGTATGTTGATTACCGAAGCATATGCCTGTAAAGGTTACAGATCAAAGATCTGTAATGTTACAGGAAATTATCGTGTAAGTATAACATTTTTTCATATGTGATTTACCAATGTAAACATCTGTAAAGATTACAGGAAATAATAGTGTAAGTAGATCGTAATTTTTGAATGTGAATTACTAAAGGGAATATTTGTAGATTACTAGTGTTCTGCTTGTAAGGTTATTGCAAGTGATTATGTAAGAACATGTATTTTCATGTGAAATTTTAAAGGATATATATGTAAAAGTTGCAGATAATTTACTTAAAAGTTCTTCCAAATAATTATGCATATAGAACATATTTGTCTTATACAAAATACAAAAATGATGTATTCCTAAATATTAAATATTTTGATTGTAATATTACTATAAATAATTACACATGTAGAACATATGTTTTATGTGAAATGTCTACAGCTACTGCTTGTAACAAAATATGCTGCATTTATTTATTTGTGGGGAAAGGGAAGTTATGTAACTTTAAATATTAAGTTTTTTTTTTTTTTTTTTTTTTTTTTTAAGGAAAATACCTTAGATTTTCTAAAAGATATACAACATTTTCTTTCAAAATATTCCCAATGTTAAAAAGAAGCTCAAATTTTATGTTTTTCTTACATCTGCATTAATTTCCTCTATTGAATTTTAAGACATCTCAAAGTTACATATGCATCACGAAATAGCTGGAAAAAAAACTTGTGTATTAGACTTAATGGTTTTTTGGCAATAAATTAGTAATGTTCTAGAATTCCCCCGCTGAACACTGGTAGTTCGGTCCGAGGTTCAAATCCCGTGAATGGGCTGGTTTGTATGGGTATTTTCATGGTTTTTTTCTCCATGTGTAACATGTATATAAGTCAGTTTCCCTTCGAAAGTCCTCCAGAAAGGCATTTCTCCACTTAGGCAGATAGTCCTAGTGTGCTTTGCCATACTTAAATAAACTAAACCAAATCATTCTCCTTATACCCAACAGTGTAATCTAAAGAGACTGCAATTGGATATAATTACAGTAAAAAAATATTTTAATGAAATTGTTTCAATAAACAATTCTAAATATTTTTTCAAATTCTAAAAAAAATTACTTATGTAACTCAACAATGAACTTAAATTCAGTTATCACAAGTTATCCAAAATTATTTTCATGCTTAATTGCATTATTCATTTTAATTACAACATATAATTCTTTTAGGCATAAATGCTTTTATAATCTCTTCTGCTACTGACCATTAATTGAAATAATAGATTAATTAATCGGTAACAGTTGACAGTGACAGGTATTTTCCCAGATTTAAAACTTTATTAATAAATTACATTCTTCTCATTGAATACAAAATTGAAGAATTAGTTAGTCCTAAATTTAATTTTTCAAGTATTCCTTCTACTAAACATTTATTGCCTACAGGCAGCCAGACAGTAAGCTGAACACTAGCATTTGGCTCTAGATTTAAATCCTAGAGAATGGGCTGCCTGTGTAAATGTTTGTGTAACATGAATATAAAACCAGTTTTCCTTAAAATATTCCTTTCCTTGGACAGATGGCCCTCTCTTGCTTTGTCATATTTCAAATAATCAATTCAAGCATTTAATGTAGGTATGACTTCACAACTTTGTCCCAAATTCTAACTGAAAAATTGAACAGAATCCCCTGATACTGTGTCTATAATACATGATGAATATAGAATGATCTTAAAAATTTAAGGAAGAAAATATAATGTATT